GTATAAAACGGTTTCTGTAATGTTATGTTTAAATATGCAAATGAGGCATTGTTTAATTAAATGTGTAGTAATTTGCATACATTTCTAGCATATAAAGCTGAACAATGGAAAAAGCCAGATTCATAATTCTTGTTTGAATTTGTTTACATATTAAAGGTTTTTCCAGAGGGCATTTTGGATTTCTCTTTTTAAATAAGTAAATACTGTCAACAGAGAGAAAAACAAATTCAAAGTTTCACCATGTTTTTAGGAATAATATGTTGTATATATTGAATTATATATGAACAACCCCTCAGTAAAAGTCTTCAGACTATATATAGGAAATTGAAATGTACAGATGCAAATAGATAAAATAGATAAGCTATAAAATAAACACTTAAATGTGCATTTTTGATGTTTTCTTTCCACTAGTCTGAAAGAAGACATGTTATGGAGGAAAATAGACCAAAATCTCAAAACTGACCAGTGCATAAAAAAAACAAGTTTTGTCTGTTGTGTCTCGCTTTCAAGAGTCTCAACTGGTCAGTTCCTCTGGCATTTAAACATGCACACACACACACACAAACTGCACCTGTCTGTATGCGACAGACACAGCAGCTGCAACAATCCTGACAGTCACAATCACTTTTACAACACTGCCTTTGTCTTTGCCAAAGTGCTGACCACTTATTTTACACACACACACACACACCAAACTTTCCCACACACACATTAGCTCTTGACATACACACACACACGCACGCAGGCTGCAGCACGACTCCTCTGAGGGTTTAAACCCAGCAGATGCAGAGATGGATCAACATGCTCTAGCTGTTGAGCAAATGGGATTAAACTCTCTGAAAAAAAAAAAAACCACTTCATGAATGCAAACACTTCTAGCTATGCAAATACAACTTCTCATGCTCCAGCATGTCAGAACGAAGAATGCAACACAAGTACAGCAGACTTCACTGCAATCACATTTACAGTCTGCCAAGGTGGTGAAACAGTTTGCAGACAATCTTGTTAGTTAATCAATTTTGATATGCACAAGTTTAGCCCTCATAACATATTTGGGTCCATTTTGACCTGGAAGAGAAACATAAAAATATCTAAACAATGCATAGTTTTTAGTAACGGATCGAAACTTTGGAAATGCTTTAAGACCCTCAAAATACACATAAAATATTATTTTTATTATTTTAGATTTTTTTTTATTTACATTATTTTTTAAGAGATATAACTTTAAAAAAAATCTTAATTTTGTGTTTAGGTGTTCATA